CTAACCTGCAGCAATTAAGCTTCAAATATTAGGGGGTTTCAAAGTTAAAATGCGGAATTTTAACTTTAATCGAAATTGGTTACAAATGACGATGCATCAATTTTATTTCATTTCCAATAAATTTGAAATGATGATTTTTGTCGTTGAAAGGTCTATTTATTTCGTTAAATGGAGATCTCCAGACACTCCTATTCATTTTTCGATTTTAAAATTTTGAAATACAAATAAGATTTTTCAAACTTCCATTTAATTTCAAAATACGCTACTCATTTGTTAACTTTGAAACCCCCTATTATTTTTATACAATATTCGCAATTTTGCAGTGTTTTTTTTTTATTAGACAATCAACCAATTTATAAAGTTCTAGACATAATAATTATCTTATAGTAAAAATATGTAAATTACCGACCTATTCGATAAACTTAATGTTTTCTAACTCATGCTGTAATGATTCAATTGTTTTATCCTTATCTATCAATTCTTTTTTCGTAGGATGAAATAAAAGATTAATCGCCAGATCAAGAAATTTTTTTTTGGATATGATTGATCAAATATAGAATCCGATTTTAATGTTCGTGAAAGGTTTTAAAGATCAATTTGCACAAAGAAATTATTAACTTGCGTCTTTGAAAAAAAGGATAACTAAATCATAGTAAGTTGCCAGTTCATGTTACCAGGTTTTGAATTTCCTCTTTCTTTCTTTATTAATTAATCAATAAACCAGTATGAACTCTTAATTATAAAACATTGAATATGTTGTGATTGTGTAATTGTTGAGCTGAAGAAGAAGTTGTGTTTGAACACTAATACTTGCCTTCCCTTTGGTAGAAGTTGAAGTCTGCGCGGTCGGCATTGTTATCAATGCTGGTGCAATTTGGTAGAGGGTGATGCCACTAAACATTGACTTAATGATGTTGCATGTTTGTAGATGCACTAATACGGTGTGTAGGGTCGCTAGTGTTGCCTTGTTGGGCTGGGGACGAAGTTGGTATTTTATTCTGATTTAGCTGCACTCAAGAAACTTGATCTAATAGAATTGTTTTGTTTGATCTATTTAACATTAAGCAATTGTATTGATAAGCTTTCATTTTTATAATGTTCAAGAAATAAATCTTTTCAAGAAATTCCTTGACATTTACTCAATGGTCTTGGATCTAAATTTTATAATAATAATATCATACTTGTATTAACCATTTAAAAAGATTACAAAAAGAGTTAGAGCTTTATAGCTTAGTGGTTTAAGCATCTACTCTCTATAGACAAGGTCTTTGGTTCAAGTTTTACTAGAAGCAGTTTCTAGAATATTTAAATACAAAACTTTGTGAAAGTCCAAGTGAAGTATGAATTTGGTTTAGAAATTTTTGGAAAGAGACCTATTATAG